CTTCTCGGATGGAGTGAAGGGGCTTGTTTCTTGAGAGTGTGAGGCTCCTCGGGTCAGGAGCAACAGTCCAGCCCTTCCTGGYCCTCTGCTGCATCCACTTGATGCTGCCGCTTCTCCCAGGAGCTTTCACAAGCCTTGTGACTGGCRGGTCCCCGCAGTGGGATTTTGGAGGTTAATGTGCCCAGCGGCTTGATCTTGGTCATGTTGGGGAAACGGGGAGGGGGCATGTGCCTTGCTCATAAGGATGGGTCTGCTCAGTTTGCTGTCAGGGAGGAAAATCCTGCTTGATCATGGGCCATCAGCAGACGCAGCTGAAAAAATAAAAATGTGTGCACCAGGCAGCAGGGGAACCGTGAAGTGCAGCTTTCTCCGAGGGTTGGGAGGACGTTTACGGTTGGGAACCTAGTGACCAAAGAGGGAGACTGTCCCAAGATGAGGAAAGCCGGGGGAGGAGGTCATCTGGAGGCGGGGCTTCGCCAGGCCCAGGCAATGAATCGAGCAGTTGAACCGTCCAGCTCTGCGTGGGCCTTGGAAGCCCTGAACAAGAATCTTATTGATGATTTGTCAGACCCTGAGCAGACAACCCTGAACTTTAACAGAGCCAGGATGGAAAGCCTGCACAAGGGCCTACAGTTTCCAGAATGAACAACAGGCTTATTTTCCCCTCCCTCCACGGAGGACAGGGAAGAGACGAAATGAAAAGCGTGGGGGACAGTGGGGGAACAGGAGATGCGATGAGCACGTTCCGGAGCCTCAATGGAACAGCCACATTCCTCCGAGGGGTGGCCCACTCCCCTGAGCCCTGAGGGTTGAAAAATGTCACTGGGGTTGGCGCAAATTGGAGCCTTGCCCCTGTTGGTTGTTATTTCCAAGAGTCTGTAGCTGAACCCCGATGGGACACATCTGTGCAGGGAGATCACTGACAGCCTATGACAGACGGGCACCCTGTTAGATGCTGAAATCGACCAAGACTGACCTTGACCAGAAAGGACTACCATCTAGACTTGATAAGCCCTGAGATGACTGGGAGCAGTTGGCTTTGACAGAACAGAATATGGGGAGGCAGAGCTGGCCAGGGACCTGAGGGCTGCTGGTCACGGGCAGCTGCACAGAGAGGGACCCTGCGTAGACCTTGAAGAACCATGTGGATCCAAAGAGAAAGGGAAATGACTCCTCTGGTTCCTGGAATCTCACTCTGGTCACTTCTCCAGGGTCCCTTTAATCTGGGTGCTTACCTTTAATCTATAACAACTATCCTAGAAGAAAAGGAAAGTATGGGCACCGTCCTGACATAGAGCACCCTGGTACCATTTTCCCCACCCATCTTCCTTGCCCATCAGTTCCCTAACGGCAGCAACCATGGCTGCCAGGTTCACCGTGGCATCCCCAGGCCTGTGCCTCTGATGACTTTCTGCATCGCTCAGCCACCTGGGCATCTTCCCTTGTAGTCCCTACATCTCGCTGAATGATCACCACGTCCTGTTGGCTGTACCTGTCACATATTTCCTCCAAGCCCTCCTCTCTTTGTCTCCCCCACCCAACCCTGGCCTTGGGGTATATGGTGGACCAGGAAGCAGAGGCCATGACTCAGGCAGTCCTCTCCAGCTCCCTGGGAATGACTAAAGCCAGCACACTGCAGAGAGCAAGTCCTTTGAACTTGGACATACTTGGGTTTGAACCCCGGAGCTGCTATTCTCTGGGGATGTGACCAAGTTAGGTTGTAAGTCAGCCTTAGTAGCTCATACCACAGCTGTGCTCCTGCAGGGTGGTGGTGAGACCAGGAGACGGTGGGGGTACAGCTGATGGCATGGTGCCCAGCTGCCCTGATGAGGTCATAGCCTCATTATTTTCATCTGCACCAATGCGGTCATCTAGTTGGCCTCCCTGCCTCCCCTTCCAGCTGTCTTCAGAGTTTTTCCATCTCCAGCCGGCACTGCCCACGGCATTGTCCCAGGTCCTGCAGGATTCTGCTGCGACTCCTAAGGAATTCAGATAAAGCTGTCACCTTCTGCTCCACTACCCAATCCACCCTTCTGGCCTCAGAGCCCACCTTCTCCCCATTCAGTCCAGCCCCACCTGCCCTCATGCTTCCTGGGCCTTGATGGCAGAGCACTGCCACTTCCTGGTGAGCTCCCAGGCGTGCCTCAATGACCAACTTAGAAATTCCTCTCTCCGAGAACTTCAGAGTTTGCTTCTCCTTCCTCGGTGCATTCCTGGTCTTGCAGACACTCGTGAATTCATCTTATTCTCACCCTGTGTGTCCACAGGATGCCCTGTCCACAGATATGAGGCCTCCGGAAAGGTCGAGGATCTCTCTGGGTCACTTTTGTCTCTTAAGAGCCGGGCACATATTTCCTATCCTTTTGCTCACATGAAATGTAAACAAAGGCTGTTTTCCAGGAATTGGGCAGCTTTGGGGAAAAGCTGAGGATGTGGAAGTGATATGAGGCTTTCGCTTTTCATGCTTTTCCCTCCACTCAGTCAGTGCGAAGTAGCCACAGAGGCAGAGCCCAGAGAAGTTCACCGGGTCAGAGAACCATGGTGGAGACCCCACTGTCTTGCAGGGCCCTTTTGCTCTTCCTGGTCTGTTGGAGCGCAGTCCACAGCTCCAAGTCGTGTTCCTCGTATTCTTTCTTTGTTTTCCTTTTTAACGTCTTTAAACTCACTGCTAAAGCCTGTGGAGATCCTGCAGCCCACAGGAAACCCATGAATAGCTATTAAAAACAAAGCAAGACCCGACCTAAGGCCTCTCCATTTTATTATTTTTTTAAAAATCTTCTCTGGGGCCAGCTTAGGGGGACCCTGAATAAACTCTTGTTGACTTAATAGCAGTAGAGATTTGTTCACAGAAGTCAGACTTACAAAGCTGGGTGAGGGATCCTCCTGACTTTATTTCAGGAAAGAATCCTAACTTTGCCGTCATCTCTCTCCCTCTGTTCCCTTGTTTAATTCCGCTCTTCAGCTCTGTGCCACCTCTAGGACTCTCCGCTTTGGCTCAGTTGTCCAGACACAGCAGCACTATCAGCTTGGACCAGGGCAGGGCGACTGGCAGTGTGGCTCCTGGTCCTTGGGGAGCCGATGTGGTTATAGCAGGGCCTGGGCTGAGGCGGGGGCTCCAGCTGAGACGCACTGCTGGCTCAGATGGTGGAAACCCTTTCCCATGAAGATGACAGGAGCTGGGTACCTCCTCTTGCAATACCCATGGTGCCCAGTCTTCCCTGATACGTCTCTGTCTTCTTATGAAGGCCTGTGGCTCATCCTCCTTGGTCAAGCATTTGACCTTTCTGCCATGTTCTCTCATGTGCCCTATGCTGCCTGCCTCCTTCCCTCTGGCTATTTATAAATCTGCTCATTGTGGTTACAGGTCTGACCAGCAGTGTCAGGAAGACAGGGCAGGGGGTGAACAAAGTAGGGTGGACTTGCCTCAGTGGGCCTTTTTTCTCTCCAACATTGATTGGCTCCCAGAGTGAGACTGCTACAGGACTGTTCAGATGGAGAAGGAGCACCTGGTCTGGTTTGAAGCAGGGCCTGTGATGAAACAGGGCCACCAGAGCTTCCAGATGGTGACAAGTTGCTGGGGGCCTACTTTAGAATAGCTAGCCCATGTGGGAAGGTTAGGGGTTGGTTTCATTTAGGCCAATTAAGGGGAATGATTATTTGGGTTCTCAGTGTTGTTCCTGTCCTGTGAAACTAGAAATGTAAGCTGAGATCTTTTTCAAATCACCTTTCCTTTCTAATGTTCTCTCCCTAATGCAAGATCCTGGATTTTCAGGGGATTTCCTTTCAGTTCTAATCCAGGCCAGAAATTTATTTTTCTTGTACACTGCCATGGAGTGACTTTGGTACACAGTAAGTGAATGGGTTGGCTTTGCTTTCATTCATTCAATCTGTCAGTAAATATTTATTGGACATTATGCCAGACCCTGGAAATGTAAACTAGACACAGAGCTTGTCCTTGGAGCTTATAGTTCAATAGTGACATAGGAAGTTACATGATAGCACCATCAGAGCTGGGAGAGGGTATGTGTTTCTTGTTGCTGCTGTAACAAAACAAGCTTAGTGTCTCAAAGCAACATAAGATAATTAACTTTTAGTACTAAAGAAGAGATTTAAGCACCCACTGGCTCTGTTCCTTCTAGGGCCTTCCAGAGGGGCCAGTATCAAAGGGATCATCTGCCAAAGGAGCCCTCATTGTTTCAGAGGCCCAGAGAACGTATCCCAGGAGGAATGGTATCTAGACCAAGACCAGAGGGATGAGTAGGATCTGCCAGAGGAGGAGACCATGGCATGGGAATGCCAGAGGAGCACAGTGGCTGGGCTGCAAAGTGAGGTGATGAATGTGAGGCTGACACTGTAGAGTCTGGAGAAGGCCAGAAGGGCATCAGGGGAACAGAAGCAGCTTTTAATGGTGGGTATCTGTGATGCGATTTGTGCTTTAGAAAGCCATGTATAGCCAAACCAAGATCAGGCTTGGAGCCATAGGATTTCAGAGCTGGAAGGAACTTTGTGAAGTATTTATTAAAGGACCTGAGAGGCTTAAATAACAGTTTCAAAGTCTCCTAGAGAGAACCAAGATGAAAATGACCCTGATTATAACCACACCCGTGAGAGCAGAGCGCATGGCTGGCAGAACATCTGGAGGCTGTGTTTTGTTTTCCCACAGAACCTCGTGAGGGCTGATGTTTACAATGGAAGGTTTATACTCGGGGTGTTGGGCCAACCTGGCCACTGTTGCTCCTCCAGAAAATGGGAGACCTGTGACTTGGGCTGAGGTTAGCCATCTCCCAGTCAAGGGCCTGTTTCTCTCCCACTGTGACCCTAGAACTGAGAATGCCACCTCCTGGCTGGGCACCCTGAGTGCTACCAGGCCTCRCATCCAACCCTTCCTCCTGGGACCCAGAGGGGTGGTGGGTGGATGCTGCGGGATCCGGAAGTGTATCCGAGCTGGGCCTTGGGGGAGAAGGAGCCACTGAAAGATCTCTCCTGTTTTTGGTCTGTAGCCCTGGAGCAGCTCCTGGCAGAGCTGGACCTCTTCCTCAAGATTCTGGACCAGGAGAACCTGAGCAGCACYGCCGTGGTGAAGAAGAGCGGCCTGGCAGAGCTCCTCCGGCTTTACACCAAGAGCAGCAGTGAGTGGGGGCCCAGGGCAAGGAGAGGCCCCACGGAGACAGAAAGAGGGCTTGCTTGTCATCTCAGGCTGCCCTAGCCAGATGCCAAAGACAGGTGGCTTCACGACAGACATTTATTCTCACACTTCTGGAGGCCAAAAATCTGGGATCAAGGAGTCGGCAGGGCGGGCCCCTTCTGATTCCTGTCTCCTTGGCTTGCCAGTGAGCATCTTCTCTTCCAGTGCCCCTGCAAGATCCTCCCTCCGCATGGGTCTGTCCTAATCTCCTCTTCTTATAGGGACATCAGTCTTATTGAATTAGGGCCCAACCTTGTGACTTCATTCTAAGTTACCCCTTTATAGACCTGTGTTCAAATATAACCATCGTCTGAGGTCTTGAGGGCTAGGATTCAACCTATGGTTTAGTGTACAGGGGCACGATTCAGCCGTAACAATGGCTGCAGGGGTGACGTGACTTAAGTGGGAGCCCCTGAGATATCTGAGCACTCAGCCTGAGTGAAGTTTTCAACAAAATATATTTTTTAAATTTTTTAGTTGTCRTTGGACACAATACCTTTGTCTATTTATTTATTTATTTTCGTGTGATGCTGAGGATCGAACCCAGAGCCTTGCGCGTGCTAGGCAAGCGCTCTACCGCTGAGCCACAACCTCAGCCCCTAAACAAAGTATTTTCAAAACCCTCTTCCTTACCGATTAAAAGTAGAGAAGAGGTAATGAACCCATTATAATAACACCCAAGACTGAACTGAGTGAGTGCCCTGCACACATATGAACTTGTTTCATTTTTAAGATGCCCCTCTGGGGTTGGTCTTGCTATTACAGAGAGGGAAACGGAGGCCCAAAGAGTTTAAATCACTTTTCCAGTATTATACAATCTAAAGGGAAAAGAGGAAAATGTCCTTAAGACTTTGTAACTCAAAGAATCTTAAATTTATCTTTTCCCATCTTCTTTATTGTGGTAGTCTACATATAATAAAGTGCGCTGATCTTAAGTACGCGAGTCCACAAATTTTGATAATGATCTGGACCTGTGTAACCACCACACAAAGCAAGACATAGAATATCTCTGTTATCCAGAAGGTTCTATCTTGTCCCATCTCAGTTAATTCCCTTTCCACCCCCACCCAAGGGAACCCTTGCTCTAATTTCTCTCGCCATAGAAGGGCATCCTGGAGCTTTGTACAAATGGAATCTTATGTGAGTTCCCGTCTGGCTTTGTCTATGCTGTTAGGCATGCCACTTATATGTTGTTTTATTGTTGCAGACTGTTTCATTCTGGGAACACACCACAATCTGCTTATCTATCTATTTGCTGATGGACATTTGAATTGCCCTCAGATTTCTGCTTTAAGGCTACTATGAAGGTTCTGTTCCAGTCTTCTTGAGGGACATTTGGTTTCATTTCTAGCAAACGAGGATTTTTTTTTTTAAAGAAAAACCTTGTGAAGCCATAAGRATTGAGTTGAATTGATGTCAGGTGTTGGACAATGGGAAGTGCTATGTGGGGACAGTAAGGGCATCTTCTCCATCTGCCTCTTGGTAGGAGCAGCTCAAGTCTGTGCCAGGGGAGGGAAGTCTCCACCTGCTCCAGGCCGGAAATGCTCCCTGCAGCCAACCTGAGTCTGCCAGGCAGCACTCAAAGGCTCCTTCACCCTTCTTTGTTCCCAGGGACATGTGTTTCTGTTCTTTGAGTGACAGAGACAGGTAGGGCTGATGCTTGTTGCTGGGTGCCCATCTGCTTCCCTCTTGGAGGAGCTCTGCTCAGGGATGCTCTCCCGGAGCCCTGCCTTACCGTCACTGTTCCCCAGGCCACCCCGCAGTTCCCAGGCTCCTCCTGGCTTTGTAGCAGCGTCCGCCTGCACATCAAAGACGCGCTCCGTGAGAACGGCAGAGGGGAAATCTCAGAACAAAGCAGGAAAGCCAGTGAGGGCTGATTCACTCTGCAGCAGGATTCATCTGTGGAATCCTTTAAAGCACACTCCCCAGACCTTTCAAGATGTGCTCGGACTTGAGAACATCAATTAGAAAGACCGCCTCTGCCAGGAGTCTGAACACACCTCTTTATTATGGGTCTRTCGCATAGTTCTTGGTGTGAACGCACTGGCAGTGCTTCCTGTATTGGGTCCCTTTTCGGTTTAACATGCTGCAGCTTGTGACGGTGGAAGGCTGCTGAGAACTGGTCAGGGTGGGCTCCCCAGTGCGTATCATCTGGAGTGACCCCAGATTGCTGATAAATGTGCCCGGCCATTCTGAGAGCTCTGCCATGGCTTATATTCTCAGAGGTGCTGCCCACTTGCTGGTAGTCACTGTCCAACAGAGAACTTCTCTTCTGGTCCTATTTATATCCCTTCAACTGCAGAGAAGGTAGAACAGCAGATGATATTGACTCTGCATTTACTGTGTCCTGGCCCAGCACTTAATGTCTTTAGTGATATAAACAATGTCATTTAATCCTCATCCCAAATCTGTGTGGGAGTCAATATCTCCATCTTGCCAACAAGGGAACAAGGGCTCAGAAAGTCACTTGCCCAGGGCCTCAGGGCTGTGAGTGGGGGAGCCAGGGCGGGCAGACCTGACCCTTGTATTCCCCACYTCCCCGGGCTCAGTGGCACCCCATTACCTGTTGTGCTGCCCAGGACCCAATCCTAAACACCTTCCACCCACCCTGAAGTTAAAGCATCCGTCTTCCTCAGGGCTGTCCAGGCCTGCCTCACTGTGTATCTACTAAAAYCTTGGCTCATTCTGGGGGTCTTGCAGATGGGGGCTGGCTGGTCATTTCAAGATAGCCTGTGGTCCACATGGGCRGCACTGCTATTTGCATGTGCGCCACAGGGTGTGAGTGAGTGTATCAAGTGCTTTGAAGTGGAATTGTTCATTTGAGTTTCTGAGTTTTTATTTTCTTAGCAAAACACAAATTCTCTACCCTCTCCACTTTTTGTCTGGGCGATGAGGTCAAGGCACACATTGAGGTCTGTTTGTCATGGCCTTGGCCACCTATGCCTGTTTGTTCCTTTGTCAGTAAGAGCCATACTGTCACCCCCCTGCTCAGCAGCTCCTGAGTTTCAGTGGTTGTCCCCTCTGTTGAGCACTTCAAATGCCCTTGTCTACCCAAATGTCAAAAAGAGCATCATGTCCTTCCTCTCCCGACCCTAGTTCCATGAGAAAAACCTCCCTTTGCGGATAAGGACAGACCACCCCCCACCCCAAGAATGCCACACTTGCTCTAAGCTTTACTGGCTCATTTTCCCAACACCTCCTATGGCTGCCCTCACTTCTGTCTGCTATGTAACTCTTCAGTCAGGGTCTCCCTCCCACCAGATCAGTGGGTTCATGAACCTGGAGATGACATCTTTGTGGTTCTCTGCTGTATCCCCAGCTCCTGGCACATTGCTGATGCTCAACATGCTTCTAAAAAGCAAATGAGTGAATGTTAGAAGGTTCTCCAGACCAAGGCTGCTGCCTAGGACTGCTTAGGGCCAAGTTTACTGTATTTTTTTTGCACAATTACAAAGATTTTGGGGAGCCTTCCATAACCAGCCTGGGTAGTCTAGATTAGTCAGCCTTTGGGAATCAAAACCATGTCAATCACAGGCCTGCAGAGTGCTCAGTGTGGGAGCAYGCAGACTCCAGGGGTGGTGAGTTTTCTTTGTAATGTACGAATCATCTCAGGGAGAAAGCATCTGCTCAGAATCTAACAGTTAAACAGCCACAACAACGTCTTGCCTTTTATTTTTTTCACACAGAAGTGTGAACTTGGTCAATGATATAAAAAAAGAAATGAACATAAAAYGATACTATTTATGGACTTCCAGTTCCTTTTTCTGATTTTTATCAATGTCATCTGAGTATTTTTATATAGTTGTGGTTTGCCTCTGTTTCTGCTTTACATTATTTTTATATTTAGAATTGCTAGATGTACACATTTCCATGTGTCAGCAGTTCACATACTTTTTCTTTCTTTCTTTTTTTTTTTTTTTTGCTACTCTGAAACTTGATAGTTTAGCTCTTGAGTCATGACCGTCTTTGCAAATAACAGAACAAACTTGTTATTTTTTAAGGGGCAGAGTGTCCATGGAATGTTCAACTAGCCCAATTTTGGTGGRCACTTAACTCGTATTTTCTGAAAGCATTTCTCATACAATATTGCAATGAGCATCCTCAAAATTTTATTCATGTGCTGGAGTTCATCTGTAGGATAAATTTTTGGCAGTGGAAATGCTGGGACAAAGAATATGAACATGTGGACTGGGGTTGTAGCTCAGTGGTAGAGAGCTTGCCTAGCACATGCAAGGCCCTTGGGTTCGATCCTCAGCACCGCATAAAAATAGATAAATAAAATAAAGGTATTGTGTCCAACTACAACTAAAAAATAAAATAAAAGAATACGAACATGTAAAATATCCTCCAAAATCACCTTAAAAACTATTATGTCGGGCTGGGGATATGGCTCAAGCGGTAGTGTGCTCACCTGGCATGCGTGGGGCGCTGGGTTCGATCTTCAGCACCACATAAAATAAAAATAAAGATGTTGTGTCCACCGAAAACTGAAAAATAAATATTAAAAAATTCTCTCTCTCTCTCTCTTAAAAAGATATTATGTCAATTAACACACTCTCCACTAATTCATTTATTTTTCAAAGGTGCCCAGCTATTCTATAGGCTGATGCACTGTGGTTTATTTTACCATTTTCCTATTGTTGAGCCTTTGTGTGATTTGCCATGTTTTAGGCTGTCATTTGTAATATTGGTCAGCCCTAAGCCTAGCTTACTTTTTCAGATCCTCTAATATTTGACTTTTTATGTGCTTGAAAAAGTCACAGTTAAATAGAAACATCATGATTATTTTTCACACTATAAAGAAACTGAGGTGTAAGGGATAGGTGTAATTGCCCAGAAATATGCTGTTAAAAGCAGAGAATGCTGCCTCCTGCCCCCGCTGCTGAGCACTTGTCCCCTGAGCTGTGCTCTGCAGAAGGTGCCCCTGGCTCCTCTGTATCTCAGCTGGTGGAAGAGCACAGTTACACCTCACAGCTTCCTCCCATAAACGCCTGCCATTCTTGACACAGGGTGACGCCACCGAATTGTCCTGGCAGGGCTGGGCACTGAGGTGTCAGTCCTGTGGGCTGACCACCCTTCCAGCCTCTTCCTGCATCTCTTGGTTCTCCGTGCTGTTTTGTAGGCCTTTGGCTGGAGTCTAGAAGGTTTGTGGCCGGGGAACAGACCAACCCTCAACTGCCTCCTTCGCCAGGGGTTTGAATTGGGTCTCTTGGCTCARGATCACTCTCAAACCACTGGAATTTATCAGCCACAAGTTTCTAGGAAATGCAAATTGAGGGCTTCAAAAGAACTTCAGGAGGGTTTAGAAGAGGAAAGGTGTTAGGATGAACCCTTCCACTGAATCTGAAGAACATACCTGGGATTAGAAATTGAGCAGCTGGACAGAGGCTAGCTCTCCTCCCCCAGAGGCACTGCAAGGTGACACGCCTGCACACAGGCATTCTAAAGGAGGGGATGGGTTGTGCCACTGCACCAGTGGCACMGTCTTTGGGGTAGATGGGGTGGCTGGTGGCTTCCCCATTCTCCTTWCCAGTCTTCTCACCCTGTCACTTAGAACTCATGACTTGGCTCTCAGCATCCCACCCACCCACTAGGAGCCAAATGCACCCACTTAGGGGTCTAGGAGACAAAGAAACTTCCTGGTCCTTAGAGTGACCTATCTAATCTAGTCATCTCTCTAATAAATTCATACAAGTAATTCAGATTAGGATGAGAATGATAGGAAATATTTTAAATGTAAATGTAAATGAAATGGTAGGAAACCTAGAGACGWCAGGTCCTGGCGGAACATGCGGAAGATCTTTGAGGTATGAGTGTCTTCGACGTCCGATTGTCATTCCCAAAGCTGTCCTTCCTGTCCTGCCCTTCCCCTCATCCCCTACCACCCCAGGCAAGTAAATTACCCGTCAGCAGTTTGCAGTTTCTTGTTTGGAAACCTCTCGGCTCTCTATGATGGATCTGAACCAACTTAAAGTGCTGAGTGCTTTTACTGGAACCCAAGCAGAGGAAAGCATCTTGGGGGTACTGTTTTTCTCTGGAAGTCACACGTGAAGTCACACAAAGTCTTTATTCTCCTCCTGCAGGTTCTGATGAGGAGTACATTTACATGAACAAAGTGACAGTCAACAGGCAGAATGCTGAGCCTCAGGACAAAGGTACAGGGCTGGACTGGGACGGCTGGCTCACAGGAGATGGAGGGAAGTACAAGGCTCAGCTCCCTCGCTCCCCCTTCCTTCCAGCCAGCATGCAGACAGGCCTRGAGGAGTTATTTTTGGAAGACGCATTTTGGTTGGTGGTATTTTGGGTTGATGTATTTTCGGTGTTTCAGCGGGCCGCCACCTTCTTGCCCATTGAGGAAGGAATCTGTCCCTGCAATCTCCTTTTCCTAGCATCATCCCAAGAACAGGAAGTCATAATTCAGATGTGCYGGGAGCACAGCTGTGTGTGGTGCTGATCCCACGATTCCAGCTTTGTGTCTTTTGATAGGGGAGGAGGGAGGAGAAATGCCRTGAGCAACTATTTTCATATTCAAAGAAGATGCACCCAGGGGTCTCGTGAGCGGAACATTTTCTCTTTTACTGGAAGGACATGTGGCATCTGGTCCTTGTCCTCTAGATCTTCTGCTCACTGCTATTTCCCTTTCAATCTCCCGTCTGATGGGACCCCAGGGAGCCCAGAGGTTTGCCCAGCTTCCCAGTGGCAAAGGAGGAGGCATAAGAAGCTCTGCCTCCCAACTCCCAAGCCTGCCACTCAGATGGAAGGTTTAGAGAGMGGTGGGAACATGGCTTCAGAGCACTGAGCCCTGGAAGGCTTGGAGACGGCAGCCACCTGAGCTCCAAGGTCAGAACTGCGCGAGCTGTCTGGCTGGAGCTGGCTGGATGGGCCAGAACGGCGGGCCCAGAAGGGCCTTCCAACTCCCTTGCAAGGGCCCAGAGGGGTAATGGCCTAACTGCCTTGTGTGGCAGCCCCTCCTTCTTCCCCTACCTCCAAGCTGGGGACTGCAGACCTATTGATGCCACTCCCACTCTGCCCAGGGTCATTCACCTTTGGGGTCAACCGTGGGAGGAGATGGCCATAATCACAGGGTCGGTGCTAGGAGCGGCTCCATATAGTGCCTGCCAGGCAGTGCTCTGGTTGCTGCAGCTCTGTGGCTGGGCCATTTTTGACCTGGGGTAGGTGGGTGGGGGCCGCAGAGCCTGCCAGAAACCCCAAGATGGTTCCTTCTGAGGAATCTGCCCATGACCGGGCACTGGTGCACCCTATTCTTGGAGGTGAAACAACTTTGGCTTCAGGGCAGCCTGCCTGGGTAATTATCACCTGYTCAAATAGAAGGCATGTGACGGGCAGGAGGAGCGACCAGACATTCCTGGGTAATGAGACCCAGCCATGAGGCCGGGCATACCTCACCAACGCCTCTCTTGCTCCCTACAGTGCCTGAGGAGCAGGGCCCACTGAGCAATGGGGGACCTGGCCAGCACACCTTGGCCCCTCAGAAGAGCCTTCCAGACCTCCCGCCACCCAAGACAGTAAGTGTTCATCCAGGGTCCCCCGTTTTCCTGACTCAGGCCCCGGGAATTGCTACTTGTCCTCAGAAGTGTTGTACCAAGTTTCTGGCATTTTCTGAGCATTCTCTGTGTGTAGAGCATGAGGCAAAGGAGACTGAGCCGAGGAAGCTCCACGGGTGACTTGTCGTTGGCCCAGGGCCACCGTATTCCCCATGCTAAAGGTGATGGGAAAGGGGAGATTCTATCAAGTGTCCCCGTGTGTCTAACACCATGCCGGTCCCTTTCCCCAGAGTCACATGAGAGGGTCCACGTACAGCTGTGGTGTCCAGCTCAGGCCACTGTGACCTTTTGAAACTGTCAATCTTACCACTGTTCATTTCCTGCCTGAAACCTCCCCATGGTTCTCATTAACTTAGAGAAAGACGTTCCTTGCTCCGGGCCTGCACGTCCAGCCAGCTCCCTCTCCACTGGCCTCACTCCTGCCCCTGGGTTCTACCACTGCTGTGGGACCTGCTGTAGGGACTCTCCTTCCTCTGCCACTGGGTCTTCTGTGACTGTCGCTGCCTTATCTCCCAGATGTTCCTAGCCGAGCTGCATGGGGCATCCCACTCCTGCTCTGCCTGTTAGTACCACCCCTTGGCCCCTCCATGGGACCTGCCACTCTTGACAAGATCCTCTTCTTATTTGTCTCCTCCCCAGGACAGGAACTGTGTCTCCCACTTACTACTTCATGTCCAGTGGGGCACACAGTAGGCCACACACACATAGTCGTTTATTGGGTGAGTGGGTAGGTGGATGGAGGGGTGAGTTGGATTATGGAACTCTGAAGACATGGGTTCAGGTGCCAGGGCTTCGAGGCACTAGCCCTTGCACCCGGAGAAGGTTGTTTAAGGTCTGTAGCTCTGTGCCTCCTGATGTTAAGTGACGTTGGTGCGCGTCTCACTCTTGGTGGTGGTCACTGGGCTGAGGGTGTAGGCCACRCAGCGCTGTGTGGCATTCTTCTGGCCTTCAGTGAGGTGGGTGGCGGCATCCTTGTTTTGTGGGTGAGGAGCCTAACATCTCACAGTAGCAGCATCAGGATTCAAACCCGGGCATTTGCCCCACGGAGCRTGGTTGGGCTGGTTTCTTAGAGAAGGTAGAGGGCCACAGCTGGGGGGATTTCTGCAGGAGGCAGGGGGCCTTGGGGCCCACCTCAGCAGGAAACTGAATCCATGGTCCMTCTGAGCTCCAGCCAAATGACCCATTGCTGATCTTCAAGCTCATGTCACCATTGAAGGGCTCCYAACCCCAGAATGGCTCTGGACGCCCCCTGCCCTCATGCTTTGCTGAGGCAGCAGGCTCCTCCAACTGGAGCGTGACTCTGCCACACAGACACAGGGCCCTTCCGCAGTGCCTGGGACCCTTCCCCATGGCCTGGGGGCCCTCAGGCTGGGGACGGCAGGTGGGACTCTCTGTCTTGGGCTAGGTGAGCCTTGATGGACTGCTCTTAGTCTTTGGGTGTCCCCATGGTGCTGACGTCACCAGGGACTGCCCCACCCTGAGCTCTACCCACTTCCTGAGCACAGGCACCATGCCCCCCACCCATCCAGGGCTGGCTGTTCTCATTGTGGTGCTCCATGTGAAGGAAGAAGCTTAGCGGGCCCYGTGGTGGGGGGATTCGAATCTGGTCTGTTGCCACTTCTGTGTGGCAGAGTCAGCGTGGCTTCCCTCATCTGGCCCCCCGTGCTCTGGGGAGAAGCACCTCCCTTCTGCTCTCTCACCCACTTGCCGAGGGCTTTGACCAGTGAGAGAAGCTGTGGTTCTCTGTCTGATAGAAGGCTTTCTGGTGTGTCCCAGGCTCGCRCTCTCGCTGGGTGGTAGGCTGGAGAGGGAGTGGCTCAGGGCCAGGGCCACACTTTCCTGTCCTGAAYCCAGCATCTGATTGGGCCCCGGGCACCTTGGACATCTGCCAAGTGGAAGTGCCCCATCCACACGCCATGGGCCACAGGGTACGCACCTGGTGGGTGGGGGTGGGGGTGTTCACCTGCAGGCTCCCTGGGGCTGAGGGCCAGGCCTTCTAGAAATCTGTGGTTTGAAATCCCCAGCACCACCCCTGAGCTACATCCCCAGCCCTTTTTATTGTTTGAGACAGGGTCTCACTCAATTGCCCAGGCTGGCTTCAAACTTGTGACCCTCCTACCTCAGCTTCCTRAGTCACTGTGACAACAGGCCTGTGTCCCTGGGCCCAATTGACATATGTGTTTTACAAATGGGACCAGCATACAGGTTTGAACCAATTGGTCCTGGTGAGGGTGGCAGCCCTGGGCGCTGGCACGGTTTTTACTACTCTGTTGGAGTCTCATGTACCAACTGTGTGGCATAAAGGGCTGYGAATGAGGTAAGGGGCAGGGAGGCAAGTGGCCCCCTCCAGGAGACTTCCTGTGGCATCTTTGTCTGGGGACTGCTTGACCAGAGAGGCTTACGGCCACCTAGGAGAAACCTGGTGCCAGAGGTGGTCTCCCAGCCTCCCACGAGGACTTCCTGTGCCAGATGGGCCAGGCGTGTGGACAGCAGCCCTTATCCAGATCCCTCCTCGTTCTGTCCTAGGCACCCACCGCCCCCCTCAGGGGTTCCAGGCGTGGTGTGTGGAAGGGTAGCATGGAGCTGGGATTCTCCCCTCCTGGCCCACACGAGTGTGCACGCGTCTGAGCTCCCTCGGGCCTCTTCCGTCAAGCCTGGCCAAAGCAGCTGTAGGTCGAAGTCCAAGGGCTGCAGAGGAGTGGGGTGAGGAGCCGCCAGAGAGAGGATGAGAACCAGAGCCGTAGYTGCCTCATCAGAGGGACGTGGCAGCTCCACCCCAAGGCCTGAGCTTGGAGTGACCCTGTGACCTGCCCTCTTCAGGAGACCCTTCCTTCCTAACCTGACCCTGCAGCATCTGRGTGCCCCTGGGCTCATCCACCTGAGTGCTGGGCTCCTCACCACTGCCACCCATGGGTGCTACAGAGAGATCAGATGTCTGCCTGGAGTCCTCAGTGCCACTGGCCAGGCCAGGATTGTGGCCTGTCCCAGGCTCAGGACTTGTTACCCATAAGCTGGGACTTTCTCCACAATGGTGTGGGCCCTCACTCCAACCCCCCCCCCCGGTGGAGAGCGGGCCTTCCCAACAACAGAAGGGCAGCCAGAGGTCTGGAGCAACCTCGTGGGTGTGGACAGTGACTCAGGCAGCTGTGGCCTCCCCGGGCTGCTGGCTGCGCAGCCAGGTGCTGTGGTCACGGCAGGAGAAGCAGATGTTGCTGGCCACTGTTTACCTCTGGCCAGCACAGTCATCTCCACCCACCTCCTCTGGAGGCCTGAACGTGCACCGGTGCTTGTGAGCTGCCCTGTGGGAGAAGCAGCTGACCCCATAGAGGGGCATTGCCACAGTCAGTGTGGGCACCCTGGGGGACCCCCCACCAAGAGCTTTTCACAGGGCATGCACTCGGAGCAGGCCGTGTGGAGCTGCAAGGGTGCCTCATGTCATCTGGGCCACCCCTCTTCTTTAGCTCTCTGTCTCATTGTAGTCGGGGTTGGCACTGTCCCTCTGGCCAAGTCTCCCTGCCTCTGCTTTAGTGAAGTGAAGATTTTTTGCAACACAGCCGTGCTGCTTTAGYAGGCATTGTCCGTGAGTTCCTGTTCTGTGCTGCAACAGGAGAGTTGGACATCTGAGATAAGAGACTCCAAGCCCTCAAATCCCCCAGATATTTGCTACTTGGCCCTTTATGAGAAAAAAAAAAAAATCTGTGGACCTCTGGTAAATCCTGAGCAGGGTGACTTTCTTTCCGTCTCTTCCTCTGAACAGTCAGAAAGTTATTTCCGGGATTGAAGTCAAATCTCTTCTGCATCTTCATTCAACATTCACTGTCTTCCCCATCATAAAGATGTCATGATTCAAAGATGTCATGATTTAGCCCTTTCTCGGATCCCTGGGGAGATTAGGACCCTCTCCTTTGAGTCCGTTAACAGGTCTTTCATGTGTCTGTGTTTAGAGGACTCTCTCCTGAGTTCTTAGGAAAATCATTTTCTCTTTTAACTTGACCTTAGTGTTTTTTGCCTCAGGAGCCTGGGGACCTGGGGCTCTGACTTGTTCCTCTGTAGCAAGGTGAGGTAGAGCTTGGCATACACTGGGTCAGGCCCAAACAGTCCCCTTTGTATCCTTCCAGAATACACTGATTTGTCCTCTGCCAAATACATATACATAAAACTTCTCCATTTGCTATTCTTACATTTTATTTTCTTAGGTTAATAAAAATTAATATTTATTGAGTGCTTAATATTGCTGAGCCCAGTTTTATCCTTACAACAACCCCATGTGACACAGGTATTTCTACTCCATTTTGCACTAAAGCCCAGGTTGTTGAGAGTCACACAGCTGGAATATCAGGATTTGAGCCTGACTCAGGAAGTTGGATTCCTCACCACTGTCCTACASTTCCCCTCTGGACAGATCCATTTAGATATTTCAGGGAGGCTTTTGGGAGACTCATGAAATGTTGCTTGGTGCAGAGGGATCATTTTCTGCTCTGTCCTCTTCTAGCTGTGGGATCCTGATCCAGAGTCAGATCTTGGGTTCCTTGAGCTTGTCTCCATAGATGCCATCTCCTCACACCCCCTTAGGGGCGCTCACACCACCTGCTGAAAGGGGGCTTCCAGAGGCTGCACCGGGAGCTCTGGCCAGCCCGATGCAGAGCCCAGGGCTGTCTGAGAAGACCCTCTGGCTGCTGAGGGCAGGGGAAGCTTCCCCCCTTGGACTCTGGGAAGCTGCCTGGGCCTCCCGGGGCTGCCCTTTCTCAGGCTGGTGGCTGGGGACAGCTGAGCAGCAGACACTTCTCCTAAGACTAACACAGGAAGCTGAAGGTCCTCTGCTCGCAGGTCTCAGTGTGGCCTGCTGCATGTTCGAGGCCCGGCAGCCACATCCTCGGCCCCACTTAGTACCCGGTGGATTAGGAGATGCCCAGGTGATCCTGTTGCTTCCTGTGTGGGGAGGTGCACCCTCAGGGAGGGAGTGACTCCTGCTGGGGCTGGAGACCTTGGAGCCACCTCTGGGCTTGCCCAGCTCTGCTGTCTGAGGCCAGGAGGAGCTTGGAGGTGCAGCTGCCTGGCCTCTGCCGACCCTCTTCATGGAGACCTGTCTCAGCGGCAGGACAGTAGTCCAGTGATTAGGCTCCTGTCACATCAACTGCCCTCTCTGCCCAACCTACAGACCCCTGGGTTGTGGATGGCCCCCACAATGCCGACCACTGTGTCCTTGTAGTTAGTGTGGCCAGGCCCCGTGGGGAAGTGTTGAGTCTCAGTGAATGCTCAGAATGGCCCTGGGATGATTCTTTGGCAGAGAAGGGAAGCGGCTTGGAGAGCCTGTGTCCCTGTGTGGGATCCCTGGGTTTCCATGCCACCCCTCCTCCCTGGTACAACTCTGGGCAGGCTTCCCTTCCCTCTAGACCCCTTCCTCCTCCCCCCCATAGGGTGGATCCAGGTTGCTCCCAGCGTGCCTTTTCTGAAGGTGTCTGTTCTGTCTGATCATGCCACAGATTCCAGAACGGAAACAGCCTGCTGTCCCCAAGATCGAGTCTCCAGAGGGTTACTATGAAGAGGCCGAGCCATACGACACGTCTGTCAATGGTAGGTCCCAGCGGCTGGGGCTGGAGGGGACTCACTGCTTTAACCCAGAGGTCGGGCCCACTCACCTGGTGGCCACCAACTCACTCATCCCTGGCTGGAAGGCAGAGGGGCTGCCATTCCCAGAGAAAATGGTCAGGGCATTTGGCCTTTGGTCTTCAATGTGGTGCCAAGACCCACAGCCACCCAGCCAGCCTGCCAGGAGGAGTGAGGATGGCCCGCAGCGAGCAGGCTCACGGTGCTGGTGTGGACTGTGCTCCCACCTGGATCTCCTCCATTCATCCCAGAAAGAGGGTGGAGGAGGAGCTGTTGGCCAAGGGGTGCATGTCCCTGGGAAGCAATGGAAATGGAGGCCAGACACAGTCTGAGCTCAGCCTCCATGTTCTTCTGTGACTCAGAGTTGTTGTACTCCCACTGTGTGACCAGGACAAGAGCACTCAGCTTCACTGGAAAGAAAATAGATACAAATAAACCCAGAATACATTGTGTAGTGGTAAGCCAAGCGTGAGGAAGGAAAACAGAACCGAGGCTAGACTTTGGCAGGAGAGGAGTGCTTTTCTCTGATGGGCAGATCCCTGAATGTTGTGCCGAATGGATCAGGCAGATACCCGAGGGAAGAACTTTCTAGACAGAGTCAGTATATGCGAAGGCCCTGGGGCAGAGGCCAGCATGGCAAGAACAGGTGAAGTAGGGGAAGATGAGGAGTGGAGGGTTGCAGGCCATGGTAAGGGCTTTGGAACTTTAAATGAAACTGCAAGCCTTTGGAGGGGGTCCCTTAGTGACTGACCTCACTTAACTCCTGCACCCTGTATGAATGGCTACACAGGATGGCTCCATGCTGGAACCATCCATTCTTGGCCAGTGTTCTCAGCCTGAGGAAGCTGGATCAGAGCTTAGCTTTCCCTTACTATAGTGAAATAGCTGAGATAACTAACTTATAAAGAGAAAAGGGTTATTTTGGCTCATAGCTTTGGAGGTTCCAGTCCAAGACTGGACAGACCCATTGCTCGGAGTCTCTGGTGGGCAGCTGAATGGCAGTGCAAGCTATACCTCATGGCCAAGAAGCAATAGAACAAAGGGGAAGGGGCTGGGATCCCACCCTCCCCGCTGTGAGCACACCCCCAAGGCCTATAGCCCTACAGCCACAGGACCCTGACTTCTCAAGGTTCTCAGTGCCTCCCAACAGCTCCACCCTGGGACCACATCTTGAGCATGGACCTTGGCAGGAGAGTCAACATCCAAACTTTAGCACCTTCTTCTCTTTCTCTCTTTCCTTCCTTTGTAAGTGAAAGGGTTTTGAAAGCACAGTGTGATGTGCAGATACGCACAGTGACAGTCCCTGCTGGTGGGAATAAACTTGGCAGAAGGGGGCGTGTGGTTCCATGAACAGCAGGACCCAGGAGGAGACAGCACCAGTGACTTGGAGCCACGTCAGCTTCTCCTCTTCCTCCACGCTGGACCTGCCGCCTCTAGTCCCAGGAACCGTGGGAGGCGAGGGCCTGTCCACCCTGAGGATAGTCTGAGAGGCTGGCCTTGTGGGTAGACCCCTCTTAGCTTCACCCACTGAGCGCRTGTGACGTTGCCAAGTCACCTGCCCAGCTGTGATTTCAGACTGCAGCTGAGGGTGCGGGGCTGCTGTCGGGGCCCATCGTGAAGGTAGAGACGGTGACTCACTGCAGTGAGCACCTTTGTGTGTCTTAAGCCTGGCTCTCTAGGGTGTGGCCTGTGCCAGTCAGGGCCTGCCTCCCAGACATGCCCCAGGCCTGTTTGTRAGGCAGAAGCTTTATTTTGACACAAACAAGTGGTTGGGAAGACCTGGTTCTTGGTATTTGTCTCAGCCTGAGTCCCCCTGTTGTTTGTAACCGGGACTAAAGGTTATCACAAGGACAGCTTCAGCTYACCCTGGGGAGTGGGTCAGGGAAGCCCTGGGGTGGAGGAAACCCAGCTGTGGAGACCCATAGTAAGGTGGCCAGGAAGAGGGCCTCCTGTCGGGACAAGGTCTGAGGATGACCTGGGGAGAGGTGGCCACACTTGTTACAGAGGAGGACTTTCCTGCAGGACAAGCCGGTCTGTCCTCACTTCCTGCCTGCTGTCCCCACACCTGCTTGGGCAGCGGGATGTGCAGGTTGCAGCAGGAGGAAGGAGCACTGGGCTCCAGCCCCTTCCTCTAGTTGTTTGGCCAATTACTATTTTGCTGACTTCCTGCCACAGGGTCAGTCTCTTGGATTCTTGTCCTGCTTTATCAGCAGTGTCCCTACATGTGCTGCTGGGATGGGGTCCTCTCTCCAAGCAAATGTGTAGTGTGCAACCTGATGGCTTGACATGGGGGTCTTTTCGTGCCCAGGACATTGGGTTCTTCATTCATGATGTCTCCTGCTAGGGGCATAGCAGCTGCTGTAACAAATAGCTCCACAGTGTCTGTTTATAGTGACAGGACCCAAATCTGCTTCTCACTCACACAGAGCAGTTCACTAGGTATTTCTGGTTCCATATAGTTTAGGAACTCAGGTTCCTTCCTTGTTTGGCCATCCTTTCTCTGGGCCACTGAATCCTCTGCAGGGAGAGCAGAGAACCCCTAAGTGTTCCCTTAAAGCACCAGCCAACCCCTCAGAGGAGCAAGTGCTAACCTCGTGGACAGGCAGCCATGTTGCCACATGKGGGTCTCTGTACTTGGGTACGTCCCTCTCTTCATCTTGTCTCTCTCTCCTTGCCTCTGTGCTTCTGGACACCATGCAGGCCATTCTGGCAGATCTCTCCCTCCTGGAGTCCCCAGATGGGTGCAGGTGCCTGAAGGAGTCATTTACGCCACGATCACCTTGGGTACTGCTTGTCCCCAGAACTGGAATGCCAGTGATGCGGTGCCTGATGCCTGGCTTGGAGAGATGGGTGCATGTCCCGAGGACGGCACTGTCCTCTTCCCGTCCTCATGCATGGGTCCTGCATGTGCACGCCACGTGCTGTCTTGCCAGGGGCATGGTTTGCTCTGCTTTCCACAGACCCCCGCCAGAAATATGGATGAGTGATTCCAAGGGAGCCTGCATGGTTGTTCTGCCCTTGGTTCCTGAGGACCTTCCGCAGGACACAGTGGGCGCAGTCCTGATGGGATCACCTGAACATCCCGCCTTTCCTTCCTGCTCACCCTGCRYCCCCTGGAAGCCAWGAATCTGTTTTAAGAGAATCCTACRTTTATGGTGTGCCGTGAGCCCTCGTAGGGATAAATACAATTGTTAGTACATTTGCCCTAAATTTTCTCCTAGCTGCCRCAGGTACTACGACGGGCCGTTACTTCTCAGTTAGCTTCCTCTTACTGCAGGGAGGAGGACTAGCAGGTGTCAGAATTCTCCACAGAACACACAGGACCACCTGAGGAGCCCAAACTGGGGCTTTATCCACCTTCACGCTGCCCTCTGGAGCTTCCCTCCCTTAATTTTTTGTTTCTGGAGGAAGAATCCCAATGACATTGTGTCATTTTTTAAATTTCACCTTTTGTACAGATGATGTCATACTGACAATGAGATTTTCCCCCTGCTCCCACTTCCCTATCAGATCGACTGTTTTGCGTCCTCTGAGCTACATTTCAGTCCTGACCTATTTGCATAGAGACTTCCAATTGTGCTTTCTCCCCATTGCCACATCTCGGGGAGTTTATTGAGTTGCCGACTAGTGTTCAGACATTTGATGGATTCTGGGTACATTGGTGCACTGAGTGGATGAAATCAGGCCCCTTATCCAAAGGGGCTCCTTTGCTGACAGCTAAATAGCACTTGAATACATAGATTCATTCAGGTAACGTTCCTCTCTCTTCTTTTTTATCTTTATTTATTTATCATGCTGCTGGGGATGATCCAACCAGGGACCCTAACCTCCAGCCCCTCTTCTTTTTTGGAAAAACTAGTTTCCTAGGATAATCTCTGAGGATTAGGATTATTAGATCAAAGAACATAGGTATTTTTATGGCTCTTGAAAAAACAAGCTGCCCGAGAGACTTGTGTGAATTTATGTTACTACCAGCACAGGGTCCCCTTGCTGGGTAGTGCTGATTTTCCATCTTATTTAATAGGTATCAAATTATAAAGTAGGCAGGGTTTTTTTATTAAGTCAGAAAGAGGAGTAGTACCACACTACTTTTAAAAAAGACATTAAAATAAAGCGTTGTTTTTAGAAATGTTAAAACAAAATATATTTTCATTGGCAGCACACCTAGAATAGCTGTTGCAATGACATTGTTCCCTTTTCCTATATTCTAACTCCAATATGGTCTGTACCTTAGTATGCAAGAACCCAGCTATCAGGACAAGAGCTGCTAGAGTCTTCTGGGAAGAATTAGGTGCCCCATGGGCTCTCCCTCTTCTGAATCAGAGTGTCATGGGACAGAAGAGAGGTGTCACTCACCTGAGTTGGGGGAGGCAGAATAAGGACTGCTATGTGGAGGTTACTAGGAACTAGACCTTGGGTCCTCTTTCTGAATGGGACTGTGTCCAGTGATCAGGAGGGAGCCAGTTCCCTGTCCGTGGGGACTTCAGGCTGAGCATCAAGGTTATGACAAACAAGTTCTGCGCTGAGCCCGGGGTTGGGCCGGGAATCCTGGTCCCTTTTCCCCAGGTGCTGCTGTTCAAGGATTGATGGGTCGAGCGATGGATTGGTCGGTGGATTTTCTTCGCCTGGTTTGGGGTGGCCTTGAATGCAGCGGTGAGGCCTGGAGAGGCAGCGGGAGCAGGAACTAGAATCCGGGGCAGGTGGAGTGTGCGTAGAACTGTGCCTGGTTCATGCCGCATTGAGATGGGGGATTCTTTCACAGTGTGAGGAGGGCTTAGGACTGCCTTGAGTTAGGAACCAGGTAAAGGGACGTTCTGCAGGGAGGGAGGGAACAGAGTCGGGAGGGTCGGAATGGGTTTGCTGAGAAGGGCTGTGACCAGGACAGCATACTCGGGGCGGAAGTACCATCTTCCCAGAAAGCTGTTTCCTGCTGTGGTTTACGTGGCCTTTTCCCTGACCTGGGACAGATCCAGGTCCAGGATAGAGACCTACAAAGCACATCGCTAGGGCTCTGGGGGCCTTTTCTTCCTGCCAAATCCTAAGGATGACAGAGTGCCAGGCCCAGAGGAGCCTGTGGCTTCATCCTTCCTTGGAAAAACAGGCTGCAGGGGACGCCTGGCTTCCGGGAGCACACAGTTGGTCTGTGGGGCAGTGTGTCCTCAGGGGAATCCAGAGAAGACAGAAAGGCAGAGACCAGGTTTTAGGTTATTTGGGTTTTGTGGCCCAAGGCAGCATGTGAGAAGCCTCTCAAAGGGAATTAGGGACAGAAAGTCAGCCATGGTCTTGCCTGGTGGCTGTGGGGCTGCATGAGGGGCAGGAGGGTGGTGGTCACGGGCTCGGGCTGCTGAGGCCTGCTGAGGCCTGCTGCCCTCCCCAAAGTCACCTGTTTAGGGAGACGACCTTCCTGCAGGGCCCTGACCAAGCGCATCTTCCTTGCAGAGGACGGCGAGGCCGTGAGCAGCTCCTACGAGTCCTACGATGAAGAGGAGACCAAGGGCAAGGCCGCACTCTACCAGTGGCCCTCCCCAGAGGCCAGCATCGAGCTGATGCGGGACGCCCGCATCTGCGCCTTCCTGTGGCGCAAGAAGTGGCTGGGCCAGTGGGCCAAGCAGCTCTGCGTGATAAGGGACACCAGGCTCCTGGTCAGTTCCCRTCTTCTCTGCTTGGGGGGAGGGAGGGTCAGGGAGGAGAGAGGTGCTCCCTGGTGTGCTCCCAGGGGCTCAGAGCCTGTTGATGTCAGGAGACTGTCACTGCTTCCCAACCTGAAATCACACGCAGGATTTTGAGAGTGCGGAAGAATGTGTTTTTTCTAGACTAGACAGATCTAGTAGTTTTCATCAGGCTCCGAAAGGGGGCTGTGATTATCACTACCTTCCCCATCCTTCCCATCTCATGCACCCGTGTTTGAAAGACACATCGTTCTGTCTTCTGGTCCTTAATCACCTTTTAGCCAATGGAGCCCAGTGGCTTCCTGAGGCCAACCACTAGCCCCAGTTCTAGCTRCTGCTGTGGTCTGAGCAGCATGAGAATCATAGCTATCTTCTCAGAAACCATAACACTTTGAGCTACTAATTCTAAGTCAAGACCCATAAAGGAGCCAGACATAGGACTCTGATGACAGTCTTGTTTCCTGTTACATTAAATTAAAATTCACAGTTCTGAGCTGGCTGTGTTGGCTGTGCATCTGTAGTCCCAGCTATTAGGGAAGCTGGGGCAAGAGGATCCCCTGAGCCCAGAAGTTCAAGGTTGGCGTGGGAAGCATAGACTTCATCTCAAAAAAAAAAAGAAAGAAATCAGTTTTAGGTCCTGACTTAAAGTTACATGGAATTATTATTCTCCTGTGGTCACAATGTACCCTGCTTTGTATAAATGTTATCGAGGTGATCCTGTCAAACAACCCCATGAGGTCCCCATTTTAYATTGAGGGCAAAACCTTCACTCAGGGCAAAGCCTTTATCTGGGAGAGGAAGAAGGTACCTTCCTTTCTTGGCTAACACCTCTTCCTGGTGAGGCAGGAAATAAGCTTAGTTTTTTGCACCTGACGGATCCTTTTCTGGGAAAGCCAAGCAAGAAATACAAATACAGGGAAGTGAGAAAAGTCCGTTCCACCTTGGAGAACTAAGTTGTCTGCAGGGGACATAAGCTCATGAGCTGCTTAATGATGGCACACGTCTGAGAAACATGTCATCCGGCAATGCAATTGCTGTGTGAGCATCACAGTGTGTACGTATACAAACCGAGGCAGTCACATTATTAGGCAATTTATCTCACGATAGGGCCACTGTGCATCATGACAATCCATTGCTGACCGAAACATCTCAAGTTGGGGCATGATTGTATTTTGGGAACCCCCTRCCCCCGACTCAGAGCAGCCTTGAGCCATTTGGATGAGCAAGRTCCTGGAGCATCCCTACTTGAGGCTGGGGAGAAGTCGGATGCTGGGAATGGGATGGCTGGTATTTGTAGTGGAGGCTCTGGGCCTGCCATAGGGGGTCCAGCCTTCTAGTTTTGGGGGTAAAATCAGGCTCTTGGGGGGTCTTCAGCATTCAGGGGCCCCTGCTTTGCAGAATCCAGTGAGGCCAGTGCCCCTGGCAATGAGCATCTTTTCTCTTCCAGTGCTACAAATCCTCCAAGGACCACAGCCCTCAGCTAGACGTGAACTTGCTGGGCAGCAGCGTCATTCACAAGGAGAAGCAAGTGCGGAAGAAGGAGCACAAGYTGAAGATCATGCCCATGAACGCCGACGTGATTGTGCTGGGCCTGCAGAGCAAGGACCAGGCCGAGCAGTGGCTCCGGGTGAGCAAGGCGCAGGCTTCCTTCAGGCCTCACTCCAGGCCTTCCTCTAGCGGCTCCTGCAGTTCTGCTCCCAGCTTTTCCTAAAGGGATGGCGATGCCATCCAGGGTAGAGGGCCTGAGATCCTTCACAGGCCCAGGGCTTTCCATGCTCCAGGTCAGTGTCAGGGGAACGAAAGCTGGGCTCTGCTGCTGCTCCTTCTGAATCCTTCTTGGGAGCTGGGACTGGGCCAGTGGTTGGAATCCACTTGCCTTTTTGCCCCCTGTGAGGCAACCCCAGGCTTCTTATTAAAGGGGTGTCTTCCGCTGCATCCCTGAAGTGTTTACCACAGGCTGAGGACTTTTAGCCAGCTGAACCCCGCGGTGACGTGGACACGGTCATGCTCCCATCTTACAGGAATAGAGATTAAGGTGCAGAGGGCAGAGGTGACTATCCAAGGTCACTTGGCAAGTGAGTGGCAGCACCTAGGACTGTCTTACCGCAGCACTGGGTTTCCCGCCACCACAAATGCACCTGGCCCTCTGCTGTCACTCCYTCCAGGGTGTGATGCTGATGAAGTCCCTGGAGAGGGACTGGCCGCCCCATGTTAAAGATGAGCTTGATGKTTCTAGAAGGTCTGTACCAAGAAAGGACCCTGCCCAGGGCCACTCTCTCCCTCCTTTTTGCTGCCCAGTTTGCTGTCGCGGCCACATTGACACATTTCCAGCGTCATTCCCCTGCTGTCCCCTGCCACCTGGCTAAACATAACCACCATGAGGAGCCTGTCAGCAGCAGATCTGACCCCCTGATTAAAGTGTGGCTGACAATGGTACCTGCCCCAGGCACTGGCTACCCCAAGTGCTGAGTACCCCAGTTTTGGAGCAGGTGAGCTGTTTTTGTGAAACCACTAAGTGTTTTCAGAAACCACTAAATGTTTTGAGAATTCTGGCCAGACCAAGTTCTAGGAGGAGCTGGCAGCTATCTCAACCCTTATTGCAAAATGTCCAGGTGGTTAAAGGCGGTCATATAGGATAAGAAGGGCCACCAGATGGACAGGCTTGTAGATTGTGGGGTTCCTAAGAGATGGTTAGCCCTTCAGAAAGGCCAAGGCTGGCATTCGAGAGCATGGGCTCTGGCCTCGAATCCTGGCTTCCTCCCTTTTGAGCTGAGTGATCTTGGGTTGGTTCCTTAATGCATATGAAGTGCTACTGTGCTGCATCTGGGCAGAGTACGTGAAACTGGACCAGCACAGAGGTGACCACCGAGGCCCGGAGAGTGCTAGGGGCTGATCTTGGGCTGCAGAGCTGACTAGGGCCTGGGCTTGGAGCTGCTGGTTTGCCTTTGAACTTCCTCGTCTCACCAGGTCTCCCCTATGGCTTTTGCCAGCTCTCCATATCCTCACCCTCACCCACTATGTGCACAGGAGCATGGGTGTGTGCACGCACACGTGCGCATACACATTTATACACACATGCATACACATGTGTGCACCCACACGTACAGTGTGGACACGCATGTGAGCACACATTTCCCTTGCCCCCAGTTCCCAGTGCTGTTCCCTGCCTGCCCAGACCCATCTCTCCCTTCCCTGACCCCAGCCTCCTGCTCCAGACTCTCACGCCCTCTCCTAAGACCCCGGCCCCCACAGTCCCTGCTGGTGGCTTTAAAGACAAGAGCGCTTTCAGAAGGCACAGCCCATCTGTGTCCAGCCTTCACAGAGGGGCCTCTCTCCCAGGTCAGATGAGTGCAGAGGTGACCTGGCTGTCAGGGCCTGGCTCCAGAAGTCCCTGCCTCCTACAGTGGCTGCTCAGCCTGCCTCAGGGCTCCCCATCAAGCTGCCTGGGACTTGCAGAACCCGCCCACCGTCCCTGGGCCTCCCGATTCTTCAGAATCACACTTGACATATTAAAGACAGGAATGTATGTGCCTGCCCTGTGCTGGGTACTGGACACTCAWGTCCCCAAAGCCACTCTGTAGAGGTGCCCCATCTTACAGATGCCAGAGCTGGGGCTTGGGCCCAAGGTCATGTGGCTAGTCTGCCAACCCCAGCACCAACCCTCTTCCTATGAAACTGTGTCATATATTCTTTGTGGAACAAAGCCTAACTGGAGTCAGTGTTGAAAGTGAGAATTGTCTTGTTTCCCTCCCCCATAACTGTTCTTCCTTGTRTTCTTTGGCTTTTGTGATGTTAAGCCCATTCCACAAATTGCTCTAGGCAAAGATTGAAAAGGAAGGGGACTTGAAATTGCTCTTACTAATTCTGTACCTCCAAGGGCTTTGCAATTGTGTATRTGTGTGTGTGTGTGTGGCTGGCCTGCCAGCCTGGGCTGTGCCCCTCTGGGAATCCCCAAGGTGGCCCCTGGCTCAGAAGGGGGGTGGGTGCATTGCTGTTTAGTGAAGTCAGAGCCACCTCTGACCTTTGTGTGTCCCCAGCCCAGGCCCTGGGTGGCAGTGAAAAGGCTTTTTCCCAGGGGAGGCTGGGAGGGATGGTAGCAGGCAAGTTTGGAGAGATGGTAATGGTGGTCAGCTCAASGCAGTCGGCTGGCCTGCTCCCGAGTGGCGTGGAGAGTCCAGAGCCAGCCCATGGCCCCCACCGCCAGAGGACTGTCTAGCAAATGGGACTGTTCATGTCACCCAAAGCAGAGCAGCTGGCAGGAAGGGGCTCAGGGAGCTGAAGGCTGGCTGCTCTGGYCATCTTGGGGCTCTGCTGCAAAGGCCCCTCACCGACACCCAGGACATGGGGGACCTGTAGCCATGGGCCTGTGCCACCAGGTTCAACCACTGCAGCCTCCACAACTGAGTCCCATGGGGCCCGGGGCAGGGGCAGTGCTTCTCTGTTCCTTTCAGCTATGGGTCTTCTCTATCCCCACTCTCCCTGCCCCGAGGGCCCCTGCCTTGGTCTGGCTGTGTGTGCAGGTGGAAGGGGCTTGCACGGACCCTGGCCTCATTGAGGGTGTTCTTGCCTCAGGTCATCCAGGAGGTGAGCGGCCTGCCTTCTGAAGGAGCCTCTGAGGGAAACCAGTACATCCCAGATGCCCAGCGCCTGTGCTRTCAGCGGGTAAGGCTCTGCCCGCCTGGAAGTGAGTGCCATCTGCCCTTCTTCCACACGAATTTCAAGTGTAAAATGGGGAGCTTTGTTTTTGCATTTCAACTCCATTAAAAGAAACATACAATGCTTGGACAAGGGCAGTGACCTTAGTTTGGCAGGAAGAAGGATGAAATGGATACAGGGCTAAAATATTTTCTTGCTAGGGCGGGGGCAGTATTATGARAGCAAAAGTCACTTGGCCCTGCATGCTTCAGCTGGGAGATTCATTCTATGAGGCTCTTCCTTCCTGCTTGTTCCCCTGCGGAGCCTCCGGGTGGGACAGTCTTGACGTGTCCCCTACCTCCAGAGGGCTCAGGGTGCCTTTGCCTGGAGCCTGGGCTTGAGRTCAAGGAAATCGGGTGGAGGGCTGTCACCTGCAGGGTCACCCCTTWGGTCCCTGAGTATCTGCAGGTGGGTACCCTGAAGCCTGGCAGTGCAGAGGGTCCCTGCCAGGGAATGGAAGCCAGAGGGCCCACGCGTCTCTCAGGCCCCTGGAGACGTGCTGCAGCATGGCCCCAGGGACTTGAGAGGGGCCGGGCAGTGGTGGTCTCCCTCATTCTGTGGCAGGGTTCATTTGTGTGTCCTTCCTGTTGCGGTGGGAACTGAGGATCTCTCTGTGGTGTTTCCATGGCCAGGTGCCACTCTTCCTGGGTCCTGCCTCAGGCCAGGCCGGTTGGTTGGAGCCATCAGCTTGCTTCCTAGAATAGGTGGTTGGCTGGAATGTTCCCGAGTCACATTCAACCAGCTACAGCTAGTCCCCACGCGCCTAGTCAACAGAGATGGAGATTATCCCTGTCTGCACCCAAGATGCATCTAATCTCTCTTAAATTGAAGTTCTCAATGTAACCATTCCCAGCCAGTGGTTCCCATTCATCTCTCTCTCTCTCTACACCCCCTCCCCTTTTTCTTTCCTGTAGCCAGATATAGCTGAAAAGTACCTGTCTGCTCCAGAGTACGGAAGCTCCACAGACAGCCACCCTGAGGTCCCAGAGACCAAAGACGGTAACACCGCTGTGGCTGGCGGCCTCGTGGTGGGGAGGGTGACATTATTCCAGGATGAGACTTGGCCATCTGACTCAACCCTAAAGGGTTTCCACAGMTGATTCTAACATACCCTCCGACTTATAAACCATTGGAAATCCTGCATCTGATAGATCCTGGGAAACTGGAGAGGTGGCCAAATTGAAGTTAAGTCTCATGAAAGGCTGARGATGGAGTATTCCGTCTCTTCTTGTTTGCCAACCCTACTTCAAATCCCTTTGAGCCATAGAGTCTGTAAAGAGTCTCAAGTGCTTATCTGTTCTTATGAGAAGGCTGAGTACCCCCTTGACGGTGTGACTTTGGAGACAGCCAATTCTGGGGAGCAGACATGTGTGTGCGCGTGCGCACATGCAGGCAGGGAGCAAGAGGGTTCTGGAGGGGATGAGTTTGCATGTGGGTGGGCTGCGTACAACACTGATTGCTTTCTCTCTCCTCTCGACAGTCAAAAAGAAATCTTCTGCTGGCCTCAAACTGAGCAACCTAATGAACCTGGGCAGGAAGAAATCCACCTCGCTGGAGCCCCCAGAGAGGTCCCTGGAGACATCTAGTAAGAACCATAGCTGCCTCYAGGACCTAGGGCTGGAGCCCAGACCACGAAGGCAGGGGGTTCCAGGGCCGGTTTAAGCACCTCTAGGGATGGCAAGCACACAGCCCCTGGTTTTAGTTTGTCTTTGTTGTAGGTAGTCCTGGTGCTGAGCCGGAGTCGGTCTTATTGCAGTGTTGGATCCTTTGTGAAAGGGGAACTAATCAGTGTCCCCCAAGTGTTCTTTAAAGACTGATGCTTAGTTGATCAGTGTCTGTGGGAGGGAGGCATGGCAGACACAGTGTCAGGACCGGGGAAGGYGGGTGGAAGGCACAGTCTTAAGACCTTCAGCCCAAGAGAGAGGCTGGCTTTCCCGCCTAAGCATGCACTTGGCCTTCCTTGTGGCAGTCAGGACTTGGGGACATGGAGAACCTCTTCTGCCCTGTGGTCAGACATGGCATGTGGACTTGAGCCTTAAAAGCAGGTGGAGCTGAGGAGGCTAGAACCACCTGGGGCAGCAGCAAAGACTCAGAACAGGCGGGCCGAGGAAGGGAAAGTGAGAAGCCCACGTGGCTGGACCGGAGGACATTACAGGGGCTGGTAGGTTCTTAGATGTCATTGTCACTGCCCTCGATCCGGAAATCAAGGTGAGAAGGCAAAGASACTGATGTGAGGGATCTTGATCCCCAAGCTGGGGTTCTCAACTGCAGCCCTCCTTGGGGCCTGAAGGCCATTACTGTCTGCCTTTGGCCATTACATCCTTGTGGAATGATGTCCTGTCCCCAGACTCTTTTCTGAAGCCCAATTAGGTTCTCTTCTGGTTTGAGGCTGGCAGGATGGTGGTGGAATAGGAAAGGAGTGGAGGAGCRGTGGTGCACGCCTGTAATCCCAGCAGCTAGGAAAAATGAGGCAGGAGGATCACAAGTTCAAATCCAGCCTCAGCATCTTAGGCCCTAAAGCAACTTAGCGAGATCCTGTCTTTGGGGTTGTGGCTCAGTGGTTAAGCACCCTGGGCTCAATCTCTGGTACCGAAAAAAGAAAAATGGAGTGGTCTCCTGCTTCTCTGGCCAGGACAATGGGTAGTGCCTGGGTCTGTCTGCCCCTGCAGCCTGGGAACCTGATCCCTGTGCGTCACTGTCTGGGAGATGGTTGGGTCATTGCTGGAAGTCTGCTCTCTCAGCCAACTATGCTCCTGTCCCTTGGGGGCAGGCCAGAGAGAACACAGTGGCTGTCCTCCCCAAGACTCGGGTGCTTAAGATCTGAGCTCCCGCCTGCTCCCGCCTTTCCAGACCAAACGGCACTTTGTAAGTCAGTGTATCTGAGAAGGTGAGGAGCAAAGAGCTATCGACTCACTGCACAGGTGGAAGGAGGGTCCTGAGGCTGCATTTTATGCATCCTTGTCACTGCAGGGACAAGGCTGCGTGTGGTGGATAGTATCAACTCAGTAAACACTTATCTGATGTGGGAAAAGCCTTGTCCTCTCCTTGGGAAGCTGAACACAGCAACCCTCTGAGAACTAAAGAATGGCATGATGGGTGCTGGTGCTAGCAGCCTGTGTGCATAGAGGAAATGGGGTCCCTGGTGGATAAGACAGACCTTAGGCCTTAAAGAGGCCACGATGCAGTTCCTGCCTTTGGGAAGCAGGTGTGTCCAGGTGGGGAGGCGGACATGGAGGCAGAGAGTTTCACTGGACCAGGTTCCAGGTCTGACGGAAGRCAGACTCAGGGGAGGAGGAGCTGAATGCTGCACAGGCTGAGTCTGAACAGCTGGGGGATGCAAAGGCTGTCGGGAACCAAGAAAGCTGCAGCTGCAGAGGCAGCAGGGTTGAGCCAGCAGCTGGGAGATGGGGTGGGCAAGCTTCCTGCCACAGTGACCTGGGTGACCTGTGGTTAGGAGGGAGTGCTGCTGAGGGCCTGGCTACTTACATACAGAAAGAAAACTAGGGACTTGAGATCCACAAGCTTCCATGCAATATGAAAGGCACGGACAGTTCTGAAATTGATGCCAGAGGACAGTCTTGTGAGGCCCAGAGGCCCTCCTTCAGCCATGTCCCCTCCTGCAGGTGTGTGGCCCCAGCTCCTTCTCAGCCTCACCCCACTGCATGTCTCCTACAGGTTACCTGAATGTTCTGGTGAACAGCCAGTGGAAGTCAYGCTGGTGCTCCGTCAGGGACAGCCACCTGCACTTCTACCAGGACCGGAACCGCAGCAAGGTGGCCCAGCAGCCCCTCAGCCTGGTGGGCTGTGAGGTGGTCCCAGATCCCAGCCCCGACCATCTCTACTCCTTCCGCATCCTCCACGGAGGGGAGGAGCTGGCCAAGCTCGAGGTACCACTGGCCCCTAGGAGGATGTGGGCAGCAGGGACAGCCAGGGCTGGTGGCTGCAGGTCTCCAGGGCTGTGATCCTGCTGAGGCAGGATCCACCTAGCCTCAGGCCATTTTTAGTTCCCTTGTCTGTGATTGTTTGCATTTAAAAAAAAAAAAAAAAAAAAGTCCACTCCTGTTCCAACCTCAGGGTGGTTGTGTTACAGGAGTGGGGCAATGAGCTACTTCCTGCACTTAGAGCAGGCAGAGTATTTATAACTCCCAGAGCTGCCAGAAAGGCTCTAGGATTCAAATGGGTGCTGGTTTGTGTCACCAACCAGGAGGGCTGGTACTTAAGCTCTGTCAGTCCTCATTCTTATCTGGGGGACAGGATTTGCTCTGTGATACATTTCTCCCATTCCCCACCCTCTGATGTGGTGTTACATTTATAACAATCACAAGGTGACATAATGCCTTGCTGGGAGCCCCGCAGGTGGAGCTGATGGCACACACTTGTCCATTAACTCCTGTTGGCTTAGTCCTTTATCCCAGGTCTTCCTCCAAATTTTGCTCTAACACTGCCCTCTAGTGGCTAAAACATCCACATCATAATAGCTTCCTAAAGATGAGCTTGGTCGACCCATTTGACAATCGGCAAATATCTGCTCAGAACCATAACCATAACGTGGCAGACAAAAGAGACAGATGCCCCCTGATGGAACTTATATTCTAGTTTGTGAATGTGAGGATATTTGGCTAATTACCCAATTAATTGCTTAGTTACAGTTGCTGCAAGCAAGTGAGGCAAGTACCAGGCAGGTTGGATGGGGACTGGCTGGAGATGAGGCTGGGAGTGGGCAGGGCTTGATCCTAGGAGCAGTGGGATCCCTGGCCCTCAAAAGAGGTGGCAGGTCCAGATGTAGATTTTAAGATGCTTCATCCAGCTATTAGGTGGGGGATGGACAAAAAGAGACCTATCAGGAAGCTGCTATAGTTGCCCCAGGCAAAGATGGTAGTAGCCTACACTTGGGGACCCCCATGAAAAGCAGTATTGAGAAATTCAGTTGAAAATACGTGGGAGAAGGAAACCAACTAACCATCCAATTGGRCTTACAGCTGCCTCTCCATTTAAGAAAAACTCAATGTGTGTGGTATAATGCCCAAATGCTGGTTTTCCTCATGGAGATAAACCTGAAGCTTTTATAGAATTTCTAGATTTTTCTCATTCTAAAGGCAAGAAACGATGTTGGCATTTTAATAGAAGTGCCCAAAGTGTGTGTTGGATTAGAACGCATTATACCCCAGAGGGGAAACACCAAATTCACTGGAATTTCGGTGATAATTAGTAGAGCTACTTGATCTGCTGTTAGGTCTTTAAGATGCCTTGATTTGAAGTCATAAGCAAAAGTAAATTTGAATAGTATTCCTTAGCAAGGTCCAGGCAGTCTGGTATGTATGGATTAGAGTGACAATGACATGAGCATCATGACACAGAGGTGTCAACCTACAGTACAATTCTTCATTGTAATAACTGTTAACAGTTATTTATAGAAGCACAGGCATATAAATGACCTGTGATATTTTGGACTAATATCCAGGGCATCACAGAGGTGGTCACAGATGGAAATGGGGTCCCTGGGGGTGGGATATGCTGTTAAAGATCACGCCCAAGCCAGGCTGTTTCAGGGACTTGACAGGCAGGACCGGGATCAGGCAATGGCAGTGTGGTGGCCTGGGGGGGAGGCCTGGCTCATGTCTCTCGGCCTCCCTCCAGGCCAAGTCTTCCGAGGAGATGGGCCATTGGCTAGGCCTCCTGCTGTCCGAGTCAGGCTCCAAGACAGACCCGGAAGACTTCACCTACGACTACGTGGACGCCGAGAGAGTCTCCTGTATCGTGAGCGCGGCCAAAACCTCTCTCCTGTGAGTCGGAAGGGCCTCCCGTTATGCCCTCTCCCCCACTCAACCCTGCTTCCAGACCCTGGGCCAGGCTCTGGTGCAGAGCTGGAACAGAGCAGCCACTGACAGCACGGGGCTCAGCCCTGTCCTGTCYATTGGCAAGAAGATGTGAAGTCCTAGGCCAAGGGGCAGCCCTCAGGGAGGCCCTGCTAAGATCTGCAAGCTGAGCTGGGCTCTGGGTGGCCGTGGGCTCTGGCTGGACACTCCCCAGCTCCCTAGGCAGAGTGGGATTCTGTCCTTTGTCTTTACACCAATTCAGCACTTGATGCCTCACAGGGAGGCAGAACTGGGACTGGTGAAAGCCAACCAGGCCACTGAAGCAGAATCCATTTTCTTATGCATAAAACAGGACTAGTGTGTGGTGTACCCTGCCCCAGGGGTATTGTGCAGAGCCAGGGGAGGCTCTTGAAAGAGAGGTGTCAGGAGGAGGTGACCACAGGATGCTAAGAGGAGGGGCATGGGGCAGGGAAATGTGTTTTTTTTGGGGGGGAGGGGCGGATCTGGACCCAAGAGTTCTAGGGCAAAGGCTCTGGGAAGAGAGAGATGCCCCCAAACACATGGAGGCAGGCCTTCACCCCCATATCTCCACGCAGCCAAAGCCTTGCATCCTGGCGAGTCCACCCCCTGTCCTGGGTGCCTAGCGCATGCTGTGTCTGGCCCGTGTCTTCCAGACTGATGCAGAGAAAGTTCTCAGAGCCCAACACTTACATCGACGGGCTGCCCAGCCAGGACCGCCAGGAGGAGCTGTATGACGATGTGGAGATGTCAGAGCTGACGGCCGCGGTAAGGGCTTGGAGGGCAGCAGCTCCAGTCCTCCTCCTGCCTGCCCTGTGCACCCCCATGCTGGAGGTGGTCAGGTTGTCTCCAAGATGAGTGGTTTCTAAGTCACCTGAAGGCCATCAGTGTAGACCCCAGGTRCAGCTGGCTCAGTTCTATGCATGGCCTGGCTTGGCCTGCGGCAGTGCTAGGGGAAGGGTGGCACCATTAGCCATCAAGGCCCACACAGGGCTGAGGTGGGGTCACTACCCAGCAGTTCCTGGCATGGAGCCTTGCTCTGCTGGGGCTCTGCGGGTGATCTCACTGAATCCCACCCACTACAGGAAGCGCTGCCTGTTCCCTCTGTACAGACGAGGAGGTGAGGGTCAGGGAAGGTGAACGCTGGGCCTGGGACTTCAACCAGTCTCTGGAGTGGCACTACCAGTTCTCAACAGGAGGCTCCCTGGGGAGGGAGGGCATGTCTGGGAACCCCTGGAGGAGACAGGCGCTCTGAGGCAGGGCTGGTGCCCTGTCACAACTCGGGAACGGAGTCATGCTGGATGGCATCTGGCTCTTTTGCAGGTGGAACCCGCGGAGGAAGCCCCCCCTGCCGTAGATGCCCCCTCTGAGAGAGAGCTTGACCGAGTGTACCTGGACCTCACGCCAGTCAAGTCCTTCCTGTACAGCTCCGGSGGAGCCCAGGCTCAGGCCTTCTTCCCCTCGTCTCCACCCTTTGATGATCCCGCCGAGGCCCTCCCTGCTGACCCAGGCCTGGCCCCAGATGAGCCCTGCACCAAGTCTGCAGAGAACCTAGAGCAGCAGGTACAGGCCGGTCCCTGCAGAGGGCTGACCACCTTCCTGTGCCCATCCTCCAGATGAACTGTGTTTTCTCCCCACACAGCGGCAGCTGGAGGGCCGGGAGCCCGAGGAGCCTTCCCTGAGAATCCCCACAGTCAAATTCCAGCCCGAGCAGCAGAGAATCTCCTTCCCACCAAACTGCCCCGATACTGTGGCTGTCACCCCAGCTAGCGCCAGCCCACCTGTGAAGGACAGGTTACGAGTGACCAGTGCAGGTACCTATTGCAAGATCAGCGCTTAGCGTTTTGTACTTGGCTCAGAGAAATTAGCCCTATTCCCTCCCTTTCCGATGAGGAAATAGGTTCCAAGAGGTGAAGTAACTTGCCCAAAGCGGCACAGCAAAGAAAATGTGCACCCAGTTTCCTTTCCTGTCCCTGATGGGCTGACCTGGTGTCCAGCTCTGATCTTCTGCCCCAGCCTTGGGTTCTGAGTCTGGGGAGTAGTTGGGGCAGCCCTAACAATCGAGCTCAGCTGACTTGGAACATCTGGGTCTACAGAAATCAAACTTGGCAAGAATCGGACAGAGGCTGAGGTGAAGCGGTACACAGAGGAGAAAGACAGACTCGAGAAGCAGAAGGAAGAGATCCGGGGGCACCTGGCTCAGCTCCGGAAAGAGAGACGGGAGCTGAAAGAGACCCTGCTAAAGTGTGCGGGTAAGGGGCCTCCAGGTGGGGAGGGCCCAGCGCTGGACTCTCAGCTTAGGGGACATAAGGGCTTTGYGGTGGTGGGACCTGGATCTGTCACTGGCTTCCAGATCTCTGGGCCTGAGCCCCTTCACCTGTGGCATATCCTTGTCACCTCTCTAGCACTGTCTGAAAGGCTGCCATCCCGCAGAGGGACCCCGACCCAGCCCAAGCAGACCAGCAGGTAGCTGGCTAGCTTAAGGTAGAAATCTTAAAAAAAACRAATGTACCATTCCTGGGCCCATCTTTCGATGCCCTGCCAAGGCCTTGTTTTGAGATGTGGGTCAGCAGAGTGGTATCCCGTGGCYGAGCCGACTGCCCTGTGCCACACTGGTAAAGCATCGACCTCCAGACTCACTCCTTTGAAGTGAATCAAAGTTTAAGATACTTGTAAAGCAAATCTGAGGCCTTCCAGATTGTCTTCCAAATCACTCTCCTATCGCTGGACAACTGTTTTCTAGCAACTTCCCTCTTGTAGAACCTCCTCTAACCTTGAATTTCTGACAGTAGCTTTGTGTTCACTTAACATTTAAATTTCAGAGTTGCATGAACAAGCCCARTAGGCATAGTAGGTATGGGGACAAATGTAGCTGCTTTCTGGGAAGCTTTCGATTGCTGAAGGAAGGTCTTGAGGTTGCAGTCACCCAGTTTTTAAATATTGGCTTTGCTGAGACAGTTGTCATGTAGTTGACCCATTTAAAGTGACCAAGTCAATGACTTTTTAGTATATTCACAGTTTTGTAGCCATCACCACAATCAAGTTTTGGACCCCAGAGCCTGTATTGGTCATTCTCCCACTTTCTTATCCCAATCTACCATCTGTCACTCTAAACAGCCACCCTCTGATGCTGAGGTGTTCCTGGCTGGGCTTACTTTTGACTCAGCTGAGACTGGAGGGCTGGGACATGAGCTGATGTGGGTGACCCAGGGTCATCTGTGACGGTACTTAGAAAGCCCTGAAAGCCCCCAGCTACGGTGTGAGGCAGGGGCTCCCYACCCTTTCTCCTTAATGGATAGTCCAAGTGGGAGAAGAGAATTTTCACTATGGTTTATTCTCCTTGCAAATAAGCCCTTGAGATCCAGAGGATAAGTGATTCTCCAAGTATTCATACTGAACAGCAAATAACAACTATATTATCTTTAAATGTCAGCACCAAAAATATCACTTTAGGTATTCTCAACTTTTTTCTATGAATTTTCCCTAAACAGTGGCCCCTCTTACTGCTTGTCTCTGACTGAGGCCCGCAGGTGATCAATTACCACAAAGCCTGCAAACAACCTGGTGGCTGTTGACTCATGCTTGGGACTATACTGACCCATGTGGTGCCATCCTTTCCTCCAGCAATGGGCTCCTGCAGGTAGTTTCTTAGCCCACTTTTATGTATTTTATCCCTAGGGGCTAAGGTCAGGCCTCGGGAAGCATAAGACCCAGGGCATAGAGGGAACTGTGGGGGTAGCCAGAGAACCCAGCCTCTCTCATGCTTTAGCTGCAAGAATAGCAAGATCTCAGAACCCCTGCAAGCCCACCAGAAGAGACTCACCCTTCCAAGGAAGATTTCCCAGGCTTTGTAGAATGCTCACACAAGATCTGGACCTAGAGGCTGTTCCCTGCACACACAGGCCATCCCACCTCTGAGTGGAAAAGCTGGACCTGTGGTCTATGTCCACCTGGGTCCTCCTCCAGCAGGGGTGTGTGTAAACTCCTTCTACTCAGTGTGGYTCCCTGGCCTCAGCTGAAATGTTCTCTGTAGCGGCTTAATTCTGTCTCCAGACAAGGGAGTCCTGGCCAGCTTGGAACAGAAGCTGAAGGAAATTGATGAGGAGTGTCGGATAGAGGAGAGCAGGCGTGTGGACCTAGAGCTCAACATCATGGAGGTGAAGGACAACCTGAAGAAGGCTGAGGCTGGGCCCGTGACACTGGGCACCACTGTAGACACTACCCACCTGGACAACATGAGCCCTCGTGTGAGTGCCAGCTCCTCTGAGCTCTTGCTGGGCCTCCTGGACATGGGCTAGGGGAAGTGGGTCATGTCTTCCTGCCCAACTCAACTCTTGCTCTCCTCCTGTAACCACAGCCCAAAGCCGCCACCRCCGCCTCCACCTCTCCCCCAGACTGCACCCCAGTCAACTCTGCAACCGCCCTCAAGAACAGGCCTCTTTCTGTCATGGTCACAGGCAAGGGCACCGTCCTCCAGAAAGCCAAGGTAAGCAGTCACTGCCAGCCTCAAGGGCCAGCAGAACCATGAGGGCTCAGCTCTCAACAGAAAGTCAGTGACTCTGGCTTCACTGTACCATTGATTAGCCAGAAGGCTCTTACACTTGATTCAAGTGTTCTTATCAGTAAGCCCCAAGGACACTTCTGTCCTTGGCTTTGAGTGGAATATATGGGCYAGCTGCAGCTCAGACCACAAATCAGTGCCTCCAAAAGGCCTTATACCATTAAAATTAAATAAACAAGTCACCCAACAATGGATGGATCGATCCCATGATCGGGTCTCTCCCTGAGGGCTAGACAAAGTAACATTAGTCTTTACCTCAATTGTACAATAGAGAACATGCCTGGAGTTGCCTTTGGACACTGCTCTTTCTGTCCCGCTAGAGGCACCCACCCACTGGGTGTTCAATCCATTAGAGTAGGTGACCTCCCCTCCCTCCCTGTTATGGTCAACAGCACTCTGCCAGAGCCAGGCCATCTCTTAATAGGTGCTCCTTGCAGGAAGGAGCACACAGGTTTGAAACATACTCGTCCTATTTGTAACTGCTTCTGTGCTTTAAATTTTTACATTTTTCTGAGTATATAAAGGTTGCTACAGATAATAACTTTCTTTTTTGGGGGGGTGTGTGCTGGTATTTGGTGCTCCAGGAATGGGAGAAGAAAGGAGCAAGTTAGGAAACGAACATCATCTAAAGACTTTTGTGTCATTGGGACCTTGGTGACAATCCTGCTTTGGTAAAGTCTTCACTGAAACAGCGACTCTGTTTAGAAGAAAAAGCCAGGACTCGGGTACTGTGAATGGAAAGCTTGGTTAAGAGCTGGCTCTGTCCCTTTTTGAGCCCAGGGGAGCAAATCCAAAATAAGGCTTCTTTGGAGACTGGAGTCTATTGGCTGTAATCAAGACATTGTATTAGGGATGTTCTGTTTCTGGTTTTTAATCAGTGTTTTTAGTGAAAAGTTTCTGGTGATTAAACTTTGGGGTAGAAGAAAAATTGAGGTATCAGGACCCTGTCCCCCTGGCTTTGGTGACTGAGAAGACCTGAACGCCCTTTCCAATGCCAACAGAGTTGGGGGTTAAACCGCCCTTGCCTTCAAGTTTGATCTCCAGTGTGATTGTGGGCCCAGCTGTCTCTAGTGATTTTAAACAGCATCAATACCACCTGCAGCATGAATTTTAAGAAACAGTAGCTGAGAGAAATATTTGGGATCCAGCTGAGGCACTGATCCCACCAAGGGTCTTCGTTCCGGTCCAAGGCAGCCCTGAATCAACTGCCTTTAAATAAAATTGTGATACTGTATTGTATAGAAATGTTTAAAATCCCATAGTTTAGAACAGTGAAAAGTGTTTTTTGAGATCTGACTTTTTACATGACTATAGAAAAAAATTATCCTATGTTTACAGATTCAGTCCTATAGTCAGGCCATTTTGAACAGGAGAATTATTTAATATGATGCTCTGTTAGTTCCTGTGTTGAAGTTTCTGTTTAAATTTCTAGTTACCTTGCAAGAAAAAAAAAGTGGTGAATTTTGGTTAGTATAGTGTCACTCTTCCTTGTGCTGTGATCGCATTGTTAACACAGGTTGAAACATTTCATCTATACCCCGCCTTAGTTCTCTAACCATGGTTCCTGAGAGCTAAAAGTCTTTTTTTAAAAAATGTATTGTCTTTCTAATCCCAGGGCATTTATTTCCCATGTCATAAACACTTGGTGACCTGAACCAAGTGAGTTAGTTCTTTTTGTTTTTTAATAAAATGGTCATTGTATTTCAGGTTTTCCTTGTATTTCATGGAATAACTTGGGGCAGGGCCAAACATTTAACCTTAAAAATATATACAAACTGATAGAACCATAAGGTACAATCCCAGCAAGAGATTTCAAAGTCCTCTTACACAATTCACCAGCTAAGGCTAAAAGAGGATTGTAATAGTAGAAATAGTATAATTAGCAATGTAACAAATTCTCTGGAAACATCTACAGAAACTGTTTTATAGGCAATTGAAAAATCAATATGCCTATAAGTTAGACTCCTAAATAGTAATGAAAGAAGTTCATGGCATAAATGTTTATTTACAAAAGGACAAAACTAAATTCTCTATCATTAAAAAGACTAATGCAAAACAACAAAAAACCCTAAAGCTGTATAGAATAGCAGACTTGACAGAGGCCAAAGTACAGATACAAGAAAGTGCTATGGACATGTAAAAGTCTGAGAAACAGGTTTTCCACGACAATCATCAAAAATGCTATACATATCCAAAAGAAAAACCAAATCTCACTTTTGGATGTTGATGGAAAAAAAAAATCATTGAAATTCAGCAATGTTTTTTGAACAATGATGAAAGTATACARATGTATAATTTATCACATTAACAGACTACATGTGGGAAAAGCATACCATAAATCTCAATGCTCATAATAAACATTCTCATTCATCAAGAGCTAGGAACAAGCATCTGATAAAATGACCTACAGGAAACACGCAGAAATTAGCACAAGAGTGACCGTCCTTTTTGTTAAGAACCAGTTATGAGTAAGTGTTATTACTGCTACTTTTAAAAACATTCTGGAGAGCCTGGAGAAGGGAAATGACGAGAAAAAGTAGTACTCAACTTCAAAAGGAAGAGACAAAACTATCATTTATAGATGGTATTTCCCTGGACACTAGAGTGGTCAGAGGGTAGCTGGCACCAGGATCATTCAGGAAAATAAAAAGATATGATCCATCTTCAATGCTTTAGTTAATGTAAATAAAACACATTCATATAATTAAAGCTAGAAGTAAATTTGAAATGAAAGAAAAGAGCTTGACTGGTTAGGCAATGCCAGTTCTATTGGGACAATCAAAAAGGTCCATCTGGCCAGTGGCCCATTCACTAGAAAATTCAAGCCAGGTATGGTGGTACACACCCATAGTCCTAGGTACTCAGGAGGCCAAGGCAGGTAGATCGAAAATTTGAAACCAGCCTGGGCAATACGGCAAGATCCTCTCTCTCAAAAACTTAAAGGCACACTCGCCAGGTTTGATCCTCAGCACCACATAAAAATAAAGATGTTGTGTCCACTGAAAACTAAAAAATAAATATTAAAAATTCTCTTTAAAAAAAAGAAATGGTAAAGACCTTCAATGTATAAGTCCAGTGTATTATTTAAGTCCAAGTAATCCAGATGAGGAGCCAAATAGCCTTGAACAAGGAAAAGAACCTACATGACAAAATGATTATGTTATTAAAGATAATGAATTAATATAATTGATCAGCATCTCCTGGATGAGCATGTGGCCCTGTCCGAGTATTGCCTTCTGAGAAGAACAGTAATAACATAAAATTGATTATCAATAAAAATGTCCCTAGAACACAAATGACCCAGTGCTTGGGACACCAGACTTAATTTTTAATGTCTAATAATACCATGGTGATAACTCTTTTAAACACTTTTCAAWCATCAGAAATCCTGAATTTCTTAAATTGGTATTTAAATTAAATTTGTACTTTTACATGTAAAACAAAATATTTATATTGAAAAGACAAAAACCATCCCCAGCACCACAAAGAAAAGAAGGAAACACTATGATAAAAGTTTCTGGATTTTTCTATTAAAATCCTCAACTCTAAACAACATGACCAAGGGGAAGAATTGATTCCTAAGTACTGCAGGAGTAAATACTCAGTTTGCCAGAAAAAAATTGCAAATATTCCTTTTAAATAAATAACACCACCTCTTGAAATAGGTATAAAAAATGTAAAAAAGCAAAAGTCCCTGTAAGTTTCTTTAACCTTTATTTATTTTAAGAATTCTACTCTGCCCCACTAAAAGAGGAAAGGAAGTTTTCAATAAACACTCCATAATTAACTTCTCGGTCGTAAACTCTTTTAAAAGGAAGCCCCACCAAGAAGCTGTCACCCAGAGCCAGACCAACCACACAAGGCCCCTCCAGACCTGGGCCATTTGCACAGTTGACCCCTCCCCTGTAGCCAGCCAAGTTCATTAATTGGTCAAATTCCGGTCTGGGACTTTTCCTAGTGTCTCCTTGACACAGAAGTCACAAACACCAATAAGTCCCCAAACTAAAAGCAAATGCACACAAGAGATCTTTCAGGAAGTGAAAAAGTCTACACTTTTCCCATTTGGAAGTGCCRTTGCTCCATGGTCCAAATGATATGCTAGTAAATACCTTCTGCTGGGCATTACCGTCTCACCACTTCCTGTCTAGCATTTGTGGTCCCAGACAGCTATCAGATTTCCCGTAGTCTCCAGGATCACGCATTTCTCCTCAGGGGAAAAGTGGCAGATGACATACCTCAACAAAGTACAACTGGGTACAGAAGTAAATATTTACCGACATACCTAAAGTCTGCAGTATCACCCTTAGTGATGTCAAGCTCGACTAGTGCTCCAAACAGTGGCGTTGGTGGCCAGGGTACCCTTTGCCCTGGCAGAGGCTAGTGGGCACTGCATGGAGCTAGAGGCAGACATTCAAAGGACCCCAGAAGACACACTCCAAAGGCGCACCCTCTCAGCTCCCAGGACGCCCAGGTCTCTGTAGCCGCTGGGTGGGGTGCAGCTGCTGTCCTCTTGCAGGCTCTTGATGGGAGCCGCGTGTCTTGGGGGCATCTCCTCTCAAGACCCCTGGGGAAGGAAGTAAATTCTGAGGACATCAGCTTCTGAGTCCTCTCTCCAACCAGCCAGCAGCCCCTTCACGTCTTGCTTTTACACCACAACCCAACTGTCCAAGTAGAAGATGCCAGATTCTAGACCCCATCCGACTCCCTGCATACCATTCCCCAGCCACTGGAAGTCATCCTGTGTCTGTGGCTGAAAGCCCCCAGCTCCAACTCGAGTTGCCTTCTGATTTCCAGCGGATCTAACTTTAAGCTCAGGGAGAGGAGCCCCAGGTGGGCCTGGAATGCCGACAAGCCTCCTGTATGTCTCCAACCTGCTACCTTTCTCCCCAACCCCACCTCTCTGTCCTTACTCTCAGCAGATGGCTCTTCTTCCCACATCACTGAGCAAACAGCACTCAGAAAAGAATTCCCAGTAGGTCCCAGCACATCTACTCACCTGCCTGCCTCTGGGCCCAAGCCCCCATCTCCACCCCCATTACCATCCTCCTAACTGAGGTCTCCCTTCTAGTTYTCATTTTCCCCCAGTGTGTAGCTGCATCGAGCATACATGTCATATTTGTCTGGTTTACTGTCTGTCTCCACCCGAGAATGGAAGCTCCATGAGGGCAGAGTTTTATTCTACATACGGTTGTCTTCCTGACCCCCAGAACAATGTCTGGAATGCAGGCGCTCCTCCTCATGTCTCATGGGTGAATGAATAAACGACTGAATGATAGAACTTGTCTTTGAGTTTGTAGGACTTGGCAGGATTCAGAATACCACCCCCAGTGCAGCATGCAGAGCAAGAGCCCACTCACGGTTCTCACAGTGGGGGCCCTCCCAGCCACTCCGGCACTCGCAGCGGTAGCTCCCGTTCCGCAGGACACAGGAGCCGTCATTCATGCATGGGTTGGGTTTGCAGAGGTTAACTGGCTGTTTGGCTTCTGCAAGAGAGAACATGCCCACTAGGTCCATCCTGGGTCAGAAGCAAAGATCCCTACTCATAAGCCCAGTTCAGACACAAGGTCACTACAGTAGTATCTCTCACCTCAGCGTCTCCATTGTCCCTAAAGCAACAACTTGGCACAGGGCTGGCACTTCACCCTACCTTGCACCCTGCCTTCCTACAGTTTTACTGTATTATCATTGCCACATACTTTTTTTTGGGGGGGTGGTTAGTGGGGAATGAAATCAAGGGCACTCCACCACTGAGCCACATCCCCAGCCCTAATTTGTATATCTGTATTTTATTTAAAGATAGGGTCTCAGTGAGTTGCTTAGCACTTCACTGTTGCTGAGGTTGGCTTTGAACTCATAATCCTCCTGTCTCAGCCTCCTGAGCTGCTGGGGTTGCAGGTGTGCACCACCACGCCCACCAAGGCACCTACTTTTTAAAAGGTGGAAAGAAGGTCACTGACAAAATGAAGGCTTGGCATTAGGCTGGCCTGGCCCTGTTGGCAGCTAGCCTGTCATTTACTACCTAGGCTAGTGTCAACAGAGGGTTCTTATGGCACTGAGAGTTTCCTTGACATGTCATTTGTTTAAATGGAATGCACTAAAAATCTCAAGTTTGGTTCCGTGAGTGTGGGATTTCCCACATAGGCTGGCACACAGAAAGMGAGCCCTCAGGAGCTGGGAGGAGCTGCTTTCCTTGTAATGATGCAGGTGAAGGCCCAGGTGGAGGTCCCATCCTGGGTGCAGCCCTGCAGGGCATGGATTCCCCACTCACCTCCACATATCCACTCGATAAGCATGTCCMGGTGGTACCGCAGGTTGGTGTAAGCTGCTATGTGCATCAGGGAGTCACGAGGACCAGCGAGCCTCCTCAGTGCCTCCCTCAGGACAGGCCCCACACCCACCACCAAGACGGAGATGCCATTATTTCTCAGCTTCTGGACAGGGACAGCTGCGTCTTCTGCTCCTCTCCCACCTGTGAGCATCACTACAGCCTTGGGGACACCAGGCCGGGCGCCCCTCTGGACAGTCATCACCTTGTCGTGGATGTGTAGCAAGGCTGTGCCGGCCGAGCCCACTCCCCCCAGGTAGGGGGCCTGGCTCACGGCCCGCAGCACGGCAGCACGGG